CAGCACACTCTATAGCACTGTTTGTTAGCCCTGAAACAAAGCAGATGTGATCTATCAAACTCAGTGTCAAACAAGTATGAATGCTTTTGAAGGCTTAGTGCACGACTGAGTGGCTGTAATATGGCCCCTACTACCCAAATGACCTGTAATATGTGTGACCTACCAAGCTGTCTTCATAGACCAAATATACTTGAAGATACGCTTGCCTGCTAGACAGACCCTTGCCGCGTACAAGGTGTACGGGGTCCAAAAGTGTAGAAGTGTGCCCCTCCATTGCTCAAAAGTGCATGAAAATGAATCTGATAGCTGGATGCCGCACTCTCCGCCGGCTATTCACTACATGTGGCATGTGCGCCGATGTTGAGCTCCCACAGCGGAAGCAACATGAACGGTGAACGGCGTACTGTCTATTGTAGAGAGCAATGAACGAGAGAGAGAGAGAGAGCGCAGACAAGCAGCGTTTTTGATTATGCTCGGGCGTGTACTTGGTCGTACGTCACGTCGCGTCTGCGTGCTTTGCCTGTGAGTGTGGCACGAAACGACATTCGGTTATCACTACCCCAGGCCTTATTTCGCCAGTTTACAGATTACCCCTCCAAGGGGAACGGCAATTATTCTTTCATCCTCCCTTGATGAAGCCGCCTTTGCCGCTCTGATAAGCATAGTCTCTCTAGCGTAGGGTGCGCTTCGCAGCAGGTGATGTGAGATGTTATTGATAGGCACGACGGAACGCGGCTGCCTTAGCGGCCATGCCGATCGATAACCAGAATCGCTTTGTTTTAGGAGCCGTCCCTCCAACCTCCAGTTCCGGATACTCTCTCAACACACAGTGACCCGATCTTTTTCTGTGCCTGCGGCTGCGTTCGCGTCACGACTGGGCGCTGTTGCTGTTGTAATTGCAGCTTCGAATCACCGCGTGTTTCGCTCGTGAGGCGTTATAGCGGCGTCTCATGCGCGGAGCTTAAACGCTGCCTCAGAAAAAAAAAGCGCTTTTTTTCTTTTCCACCCATACGGGAAGATTGAATGTTGGACGGGAAATGAAGGGAACCTCCGGAGCTTTTTTGATCCCAGCATGTATCTGACATTTGGAAAAAAGGTATAATTTTCACAATGGATCATGTTCACTTAGTTATTTAATCATCTGGTACGGTACGTTTCTGATGAGAGCACGGTGGTGCACGAATACCTGAAAGTCTTCCTCACATGGAGTGTTCACGTCCGCAGCCAAATAAAACGTGCCATTCTCATTACACGAAAGAGCGGGTAAATGGCGTGAGAGGATAGGTAAGCAGAGGGCTCCCAACTCTTGCACTGAAGCTCCCCCTCCCAATTGCCGAGTTTATTTCTTTTCGCATCTCACAACAGTGCGCCATTTCGCACCTTCCACTGCCTTAAACAGATAGTGCTGGAGAAGGTGGAACATACAAAAATCTAAAAGTTCTGGATTACGGTAGCAATGACTCATCGGACTGCAAAATCTCTGTATGGGTGGGAAGCACGCGTCCAAGGAGGAGACCTCCCACGTTACTTCCACTTACGACAGCGGCATTTCCTAATTGGATGTGGCCAATGTCCCTAATGCGAGGTAGGATGACTACCTATCAACTTTACAATAAAAGTACCATCCTTGATATGACTTACGATTTTCCATAGGATCCGCCGACCACTGGCACTGGGAGCAGAACGGACGCGACTAATAATATAATATTAAGATTTATATAATTGTTACGTGATCAATAATTATCGCCTATGATAATTTCCTATCGGAACCAAATGAAGGAAATTAATTTCTAACGCTCTTACCTTGCTCTCGTGGTCAGTGGGATTGTTACTATGAGTTTGCGTGGAGAAGACCTGAACTTCACTGATCTTCCTTTTCTTCACTAATTACTGAGAGAACGTGCGAGTGAAGGGCGCAATTCGGCTTGGGGAGGCACCAAATCATGGTAGCTAAGTTTGTACAGACTATGCTGTGAAGACTTGTGAATGAATTCCTGTAACCAAAGTGGCACTTCCTTAAGTTGTTATTATTCGCAGCTTCACAAGAGTTTACAGGTTTGTTAGTTAACAGGGACTAGGGAACGTGACAAACCCCCTCCCTCCTGCCCATTGGCCGAACACCGCCGTTCCCGTTCAGTAGTGCCCTGCATTTTTAGAATAATATTTTAGGTTGTCCGGAAAGTTCTGCAGGTTTTGTGTTACTATTTTTTGCACATTCATTGCTGATTAAAAACTCATTCTCCCTTGCGTCTCAGTAGTACATCATCGGCTGGTGTGATCCACTATAACTTTTTATCACCAGGCCAAACCATCACAGCAGAACCCTACTGTGAAGGAATCGACGAAATGTACCGAAAATTTTGTCAGCTGCAGCCAACACTTATCAAAAGAAAGGGTCCGATTCTTTTGCATGACAACGCCCGCCCACGTTTCACAAATCACTATCCATAAATTGAACGAATTGGGGGTTGAAGTTCTACCTCACCGCCATATTCTCCAGACCTTTCACCAACCGACTATCACCTTTTCAAACATTTTCAGAACTTCCTTGCTGGAAAATACTTCATCAATTAGGACCAGGCAAAAAAGACCTTCGTAGATTTCGTGGATTCTCGACCACCCAGTTTTTTCTTTGATGGGATTTCTCGACTGCTGTCACATTGGCAAAAGTGTGCTGATTCGAATGGTGCTTATTTGGATTAAATCCGATGAGTGTTAAGAAAGTTATGATCGTTTAAAGTTAAACACTCAAAACCTAAGAACTTTCCGGACAACCTAATAAAAATGGACTCACTTGTCAGCAGCAGCAACTGTAAGCAGGAACAATGCGAAAAAAGTGAGGAATCTCATGATTATTCAGTCAACAATTGAATATTTGCTTTATATATCGGGGGATAATGTGCAATATATAGAAACCTTCGGGTTAAAAATATATTGCAGCATGGGTGGGAATTGTTGATGAGCATTTCAGCGGTTGTCCCATACTGGGGGCTTTCTGCCAATTCATGCAAATATTAGGTTGTTTCGCCCATAAGTAATGGCGTTTTTTTGTCACACAATTTTTATATGGAAAATGACAATTGTTCCCAATATGTTCTACACTGTTTGATAGATAATTTTCCGCACTATAAGATAGTATAATTGCCTTCTTACTATTTCCCGACTTGTGTCGATTTTTATTTCATTGAAAGGGAAATTCGGGTCGACCCAAAAGTGAGTTTTCGACAACTACTTTTTGAATTTTATCTCGGCTCTCAATCTACAGAAGAAGCTGTGATATATATGACCAAAGAAAGATGCGTCTTATGACAGCTTGAAGTTGGTTCAAGCGATCAAGAGGTGGGAATTCGGACCTTGTAAAAGAGCATCGCGTGGGGGGGGGCCCTCTTGGGGAGGGACTGCCTGCAGAACCTACCCACTTATTTTCGAACGTCTAACATCAACTGAGGGTGGTGGTTGATAATGATAAGGAAGCATTCTATGACCTCTAACGATCCCTCAATCTTTGGCATGATTCTCAGTTAATAAGGTAATTCCGTAAGCTCTCAGTTGGACAGAATAGGCATTAAGGTTCGATCCTTGTGAGGTCGCAACTGAAATCTGAAAACTGAACTGGAACCACTTAAAGTACTACTAGCATTCCTAAGAGACATAGCCTTCCAGCCATATACTTAGCAGCTGGACCCATGCGGTTTTAGCTTTTTAATTAGAGGTATAAAAGAGAGGCTGTCGAAAATGCTCAATTTCGTCGACCTGACACTCCAGTTTGAGCACTTAAATATTAGTGGAAAGAGAAACTTGAAGAAAACTAAGAAGACTATCGTGTAGGGCAAGGAATTCTCTGCAAAACGATATAAAATTCAATGGCAAAACTTCTTATCTTTAGCGCGATATTTCGAG